CCCACCTGCCCCAGTGCAGACCACAGCCTCACAGCCAGGCGGGGGCAGGAGCAGCCAGCTGGTTCTTGCCAGCTCCTTCCACCCACCCCTGCACCCCAGGACCACCTCCTGCACAGGGCGGCCCCTGGAGGGCCAAGGCCTCCCCAGCCTCCCCCACCCGTTGGGTGCGCTCCACGCCCCTTCCCGCCTCCCAGCAGTGGCCTCAGGAGGTTAAGCCTCTCGCAGGGGGCCTGTGAGGGTGCCCAGGGGGAGCCCCGGCAGCACTCCAGGCCCAGGCCCAGGGTCCTTCCGGCAGGAGCCGAGTGGGGGGCGGGCCTGAGCTCCGGGAGGGCTGTGGGGTGCTTCCTCAGCACCGGCTGTGTTCTCCCCACAGATACTACAACTGTGTGTCCTTCCCGGGGAGCCTGGCCAGAGGGACCCAGGGAACCTCCAGGATGAAAACCTTTGAAGAATTTCCCATGACCCCAACAACCTACAAGGCCTCGGCAGTAAGTGGGAGGGCTGTGCACCCCGCCCAGGGCCTCCGGGCTCTGCAGGTGGCAGCAGCCAGCTCAGGAGAGAGCCCCCTGCCCCTGCAATGCCCAGGCTGCTCAGCGCCTTGGGGGCCGGGCCTCTGCAGTGCCGTCTCAGCTATTCCCTCCGCTGTTCCCTCTGCACTCACAGCCCTGCCCTCTCTCCCAGCAGCTGCAGGTCCCGTTCTCAGCCCTCAGCTTCGAGGCCCTAGAGACGGGGACTGAGCAGGCCTCCCCACGGCTTGTCGCCCTGCCCCAGGCGGGCTGAGCGGAGAGGACAGGCCCAGGACGCCTGCTTATCGCGTGGCTCACATGCTGCAGTTCAGCCCAATCTGCTAAAAAGCGCTGTGGCCTCCCCGCACCTTCTCCTCCAGCTCACACCTCAGTGTCTGCTCCTCCCCGGCCGCCTCTGCCGTGACCGGGCACCGGCTCCGGTGGCTCCACTCGCTGCTCCGCAGCAGGGCTCCTGCCCGGCAGCCCAGTCACTGCCAGTCGGCGGCTCCCAGAGCCGCAGGGGCCGGCGCCCAGGCTGAGTGGGGGCCACCCCCAAGGAGGGGACACAGCTTAGAAGCACCTTCCCTGCCTGTGGGTACAAGAGCGAGCTCTCTCACTCCAGCCTGCCCCTCCCCAGCCAGCCCCCAGCTTTGGGGGGAAGCTAATGGGCCACTCGGGAAAGAAGCTGAGGTGTCGGGCGGCATCAGGGCTGGGCTGGGCTGACACAGGGACGCCTGACTGCGCACCTGCCGGAGGCACTGGCCTCAGGGCCGCCTGCAGACGAGTGGCCGGGCCCAGTGACTTACTCCTCAGGCCCCCGAAACCCCACTCCCTCCGCACCACGTGGCTCAGAAGCCCACCCTGTTGGCTTCTGTTCCTCAAGATACACACACGTGACTGAGCCTTCCTGCTGCATGTTGCAAAGCCAGTTCGGTGGACTCAACTACATTTTTACATCATAACAGGCTTTTCTCCCTCTTTCGGGCCCCAATCCAATCAGATCATCTTAGGGGGCTTTTTGGTGTTCGTTCGTTTGTTTGTTTGTTTTCAAAATCCCTAGGATATTTGGCCTGTGTTATCGCACCTTTGGTAAAATTTCTGCGATCACCCCGGCTAATAGGACATCTTTATATCAGAGAGACTGTGAAGAGATGTGGCATGTGGCCTTTTTCATCCTTCAGAGGGAGTCTTCTTCGAAGGCTCATAGATAAAACCAGTCATTCCTCCCACGTAACCTCAAGCATATGTCTTTACATCATTAGCCGTAGGCTGGCCCCCGCGTTCCCACAGCCAAACCTTTGCTGCTCGTCTTGCTTGTCTTCTGTCTCAGCGCCTCTCCACCTAAACCGCGGGCTCCCTGTGTGTCCTCAGTGGGGGTGGCGCGGCCCGTCTGCGGGGAAGCCCGCAGCTGCTCAGGGAACCGCTGGGCGCCATTCCCACTTCCCACTGCGTCCCCTGGCGCGGTGCTCCCGAAAGTGCACTCCTTTGCGGCGGCAGGGGTGTGTGTGTGTGTGTGTGTGTGTGTGTGCAAGGGTGAGGCTGATGTGCCTAGTAAATGCTGAAACCCGAGGAGGCAGAGGCGGCACCTGGAAAGCAGTGCCTCCCAAGTCCGCTTAGACTCCCAGCTGGAGCAGGGCCTCCTTGGATGCACAGGCTGCTTCCCACCATCGAGCCAATCGTCATATTTCTTCATTCATATAGGCGCTTAATTTCGTGTGTGTGTGTGTGTGTGTGTGTGTGTGTGTGTGTGTGTGAATCCTCCCCCAAGGATCCTTTCTCCATTGACTTTAAGGATCCTTTCTCCATTGATTTTTAGAGAAAGGGAAGGGAAGGGGTGAGACAGAGAGAGACATGGATGTGAGAGACACATCAATTGGCTGCTTCCCGCACATGCGCCACCTGGGGGCCGGGAATCAAGCCTGCAACCGAAGTACGTTTGTGCCCTTGACTGGAATCGAACCTGCAACCCTTCAGTCCATGGGCCGAAGCTCTAACCACTGAGCTCCCGGCCAGGGCTGTGCTTAATTTCTTTAAGTCAAATCACCAGGGCTCTTTTTATTCAGTTCTGAACCGTGCACCCCGAGAGGCTACATCGGGGATCCAATTTGAGTTTCCTATCGCGACACATTTACTGTAAGACAGACCAGGCACCAACACAAAACCCACCATCTGCAGGGCACCCGGCCGACAAGCAGGCCAGGATGCCTGGGTTCCCACAGGCGTTCCTCGGCCCTCAGCGTTAGAGCCAGGTCAGCCCTGAACCAGGGCCAGACGCAGCTCCTGCCTGACCAGCCGAAGTCCAGCTCGCACCGGACGGCACCTACCTTCCCAACAACCCGAGACCCAGACAGGAATGGAAACGCTAATGGAAGCGACCACAGGGCTCACCTACCCACCTCCCTGCTGAAGCGCTGAAGGAGCCAGGGTCAGGCGGCCACCCCTTCGCTGTCCGGGGGCCAGGCAGCCTCTGGTGGTAGCACCAAGCGGAGTCTCCTGTGGGGCAGGTCCCCGTCCACTGGGCACGCTGCCCCTGCTTCCCCAGGTTCCTCCGGGTGAAAGGGGGTCTGTTAGGAGAGCTCCATGGGCGTTGCCGTATTCGTTACCGAACTGCAGGGTTTGCTGCTTGGGTTGCTCTGGTCAAGACACTGTGGTTGTCACAGGTGGTTTCATCTACTTGCCGCAAGGGGACGGGCGTCCATAGCCAAGCTGTGTCCCATGTGCCCGGGGGAAGCCTAGCCATTGCCTAGGCACACGCCTTGTCATTGTGGTTTCTGGACTTCTTTGCAGTTGGCGACAGTAATCTGTTGAGTTCCTGTCAAGCTCATCCTGTTTACAGCTGTACTGTAAAATACTGTGCTGCGTTGAAAAATTTAGCCAGAATAGCTTTTAAGCCCTGGCTGGTTTGCCTCAGTGGATAGATCGTCCGCCTGCAGACTGAAAGGTCACGAGTTCGATTTCGGTCAAGGGCACATGCCCGGGTTGTGGGCTCGATCCCCAGTAGGAGGCATGCAGGAGGCAGCCGATGGATGATTCTCATCATTGACGTTTCTATCACTCTCCCTTCCTCTCTCTGAAATCAATGAAACATATATTTTTTTTAAAGAATAGCTTTTAATAAGAACTGTCCAGACCCGAGACCTTCGTCCTATCTAACAGCCTGGAAACATGCCTGGCTGCCTTCTAGGTCCCCAGCATGGGGCGCTGTAGCTTCCCTGCCTCCTGGGCACAGGCCGGGCACGGCCTCCAAGCCTCAGTTTCCCCCTTTATGGCGGCGTATGGCCCTCACCTGCGCACTTCAGGAGGCGTTGGATGCCCGTTTCCTGCTCAGGAGACGGGTGTTATGGTCCGTGCGGGCCCGCCTGCGGGCGGCAGGCGCCTGCAGCCCGGCCGCGGTGGGGGCACAGCCTCGCTGTTCTCTGCACAGGATAACCAGACGGACAGCGGGATGGTGCTGGCCTCCGAGGAGTTTGAGCAGCTGGAGAGCAGGCACCGACCGGAGGGCGGGCTCAGGTAGGGGTTCCTGAGCCTCCGGGCTAGGGGTCCGGGGAGGTGGGCTGGGCCTGCGTGTGCGTCACCCTCTTCCCTGAACCTTCAGGCTCCCGTTGCCTTTCTCTGTGCTCGGGGACTCCAGGCCTTTGTCACCAGCTTTCCCAACGGAGCGCCTTCCCCTCACCGTCCTGACCCAGCACACCCGGGGTGTACAGTGGGGCCTTGACTTACGAGTTTAATTCGTTCCGTGACGGAGCTCGTAACTCAAATTACTCGTATGTCAAATCAAAAAGTGAACGAGTGAGACACGTGACGCTGGGCTGATGTTGTGGCGTTCACTGTGACGTTCCCTGCGCCAACTAGCGGTGGGGTATCTGAAGCTGGCTCGTAACCCGAATTTTAGCTCGCAACTCAAAGCAAAAAATCGGCCAAGAGACGGCTCGTATCTCGAAAAACTCGTTAGTCGGGAAACTCGTAAGTCAAGGCCCCACTGTATTTCCAATTAGAACAGACAGGACTTCCGAGGGCGAGAGGAGGGGAGGGAGCTGGATGACGGCCGGCTGTGTGGGCGCGGGGGTCAGGGCTGGTGCCATTTACGGAGATGGCAGGGCTGGGCGAGAAGCAGGTTTGCGGGACTGAAGCTGGCCTTCTCCGCTGTCCCACACCCAGGCTTGGGGCGGGGAAAACCCTGGTGATTGCCTGGTTTGCTATTTAAGTGGAGCTGGTGTGTATTTCCATCGGCCTGGCACGCACTTAAGTTGACTCAGGTGTGTCTTTGCTGATTCCGGTCAGACCTGGCCCAGGTCCAGGCCCAGTCCCTCCTACTGACGCCCCTTCCCTGTCGCAGCAGCTGTAAAGGACCCGGCTGGAGCGCGGAGGTGACCGGGGCGCACCCGGACCCCCAGGGGCGGCGGCGGCGGCCTGACCGGGGCGCCCCGGGAGGCCAGGTGTTCTACAACAGCGAGTACGGGGAGCTGGCCGGGCCCCGCGGCGGGGGCGACTGCACCCCACTGGCCCGCGCGCCCTTCTTCGCCGACAGCAGCTACTGAGGAGGCTCGGCAAGGCCCCCGCCCGGGGTGCCCGCAGCTGGCGGAGGATTGGAGCTCCAGGCTGGGAACTCATCTCCTTTGGTTCGGCCAGGAGGCCTTTTCTCCACCTTGTCAGCCCCCCCTCTAGCCATGAAGAGCAAAACCCAGGTCCAGGGCTCCCCGACCTCCATCACCACCCCTGCCCAGGACTTCCCCGGGGTCCCCTCGGGCCCCTCTCCCTTCAGATCAGATTCCATGTAGCTAACATCCCCAGGGCCCAGCCTGGGCCCCGCACTCCCAGGAGAATGCCCCTTTGCTGGCCTCCCCCCACGACGGTGGGTGGTAGCGGGACCCCCATTTTCTGAGGAGGAATGTGAGGGTCTGACAGTCACAGGGGCTGCAGGTGAAGCCAGGCTTGGCTGCAGCCTCCCGGCCCCGCCTCACTCGCTGCTCCTCCACGCAGCCCCTCCCCGGGGAAGGCCTTTCTTCCCTTGTCGCCCCCGGGCTGAGGGGAGGGTGCCAGACCCCATCCCAGAGCACAAAGAGGAACTGAGGCAGGGAGCTCCTCCCTGAGCCCCGCCAGCCACCCCTCGGGCAGCTGTCCCTGCTGCGGCCATCACAACGCACCCTCCCCCGAGTGCGGGACCGATTCTGCGGATCTTTTTCATTAGAACTTCAGAAACCGAGCTGCTATGAAGAATTTACTTTTTCAAAACTTCAGTCTGAGGGGAGCAAGTTCTCTCTGAATCTAGAGGATCCTGGCCCCTGTCTCCACGCCTGCCCATGCCCGTTGAGAAGGAAAATGGCAGTGGGCAAAAGAGGAAATAGATGAATGATGTAGTACGAAAGCAGGAGCCTATGCTGGCCTTGTAGGCTGTTATGGGAGTGTAGGCCAGCTTTTTGGTTAGGGTCGTTTTTGAATACCTTATGACAGAGACTTAAATACTTCATGACGAGAAAAAAAAAGATCAAGGAAGATCACTACTGAGCTTGCCGTGGTCCGCCAAAAGTCAAAGGTATCCAGAAGGCTGTAGT